CTTGTCTTTGAAGGCAACTCCGGTTTGAATAAAGATTTGCGGAAATGAAAGCACATGTTAGAAAGTAGAAGAAACGTGCTTTCAGATAAGCAAGGTTTCGGAGGAAATGGTTATCCCTTGAGAATCAGATTTTTCAAAAAGAGTTTAGCATTTAGCAAAAGAGCAAATTATGACACAGCCTATATATACATACAAGGTGCCCCAAAAAATGTGCCCACTGTTTGACTGCTAATAACTCTCTTGTCATGAAGACTTGCAAGAAATTTTGAAAAGCATTTTGTAGAGCTGGCTTAAATTTAGATTTACAGTATGGAAAAGTTTGCGCTTTTTCTTCATTGCTCTTGGATTACGGCAGAAACTTTGAGGAGGTTTGAGTAAATAAGGGTCATATTTTACTCCTTAAAAAAGTGGTAACAAAGCTGTAAATTTCTACAGTAGGCTAACCATAGTCACCGTTTTAAAAAATGAAACTCGCATTCCTCCATAACTCCTTTTTCATGAGTTATGCCAGATATACCGTAACATCGATTTCTGATATTCGTCGTATATTTTATTAGGTCATTTGAAAGCTCTGCGAACGTGCCAAAAATTATGCAATGAAATCAGCTTTTGTAAAAATCTTAATAGACGATTTTCCAATTTTTTAAAAGCAAATTTCGAGCGGCCTATCTTACAATGGCCCCATATATTGTAAGTTTCTACCGTAATCCCACAGTAATGAGGAAGAATGGAAAGAATAGTGCTCTTCATAGTGTAAATCTAAACTGAAGCCAGCATTACAAAAGGGTACCGAAACCTCGAAAGATCATGACAAGAAAGCAATGGCGTCAGGGTTTTCGACCGGGAGGGAACTCAAAACTTTCTTCCGATTGAAGGTTCGTGGCGTCTGCCATCCTTCCGTTCGAAAAATTTTTTGGGATGCTTCCCAAAATTCCTGCGCCCCCTAATCCCGAAATTTAGGAAAAAAGGGGCATGGTGGCAGCTAAGCTACGCAAAAAATTTTTCACAAGGTTAATCAAATTTTTAAAAATTCTAAAAATTATATAATTTACAAGTACGAACAAGTCGCTTGCACATTTTTATAAGTCATGTAAGTGACTTTCAAAAATTTCGCGACCGTCGCCCCCCCCCCCCTCGGGCCGCCACTGCAAAAAGGTCCGGTAGGTTGAAAAAAAGTTTAAAAAAAATTTTTTTTAAGATTTCAAACACATTTGTTATTCTCTAATTTTCCTGTTCAGTCATCGATATTTCTCAGATGAACAAGAAAAGTTATTTTAGGACAGGCAGGTTTTATGTTAGAGAAAGGATTCTACGAATCTAAATTGAAACGTAAAAGCAATTAGTTAGTCAGATAAAAACCCTTGGAGCTTAAGGTGGTTGACTATGTAGACAAGATAGTGTAGAAATCACTAACTGTAACGTTTTTAACCTTAAAGGCTGAAAAAGCTAAGGGCTAAGGCCACAAATTCTCAAAATTGCTTGAAATTTTGTTGAGGCGTTTTTCCAGTTTGCCTATCACAAATGTAATACCAGTAGCTCTCCAATCTCATAATCCCTGCTGGAAAGTTTTGTCGAAACAATATTCCGGATTCTTAGATTGTGTTCTGACGTAGTAGAGCTGTATTTTAGCTAAAAGAGCGGCATGAATAAGAATAAGAAACTATTTGGAGAAACATAGGGAACTGGTGCAAACTTGTACGAAACTACGTGGACGCCATGATCTTTCTCCTTCAGCGGAAGCAAAATTGTGTTGATTATCTATCAAAATCAGCTATACCAAATTCAGAACTAACGATTATCGTAGTGGCACAAACGTGCCAGCTCAGACGCTGAAAGCGGATGAGCTGTGGCCCTTAATTATTACTGCGGTCCACAAACTGTGGGTACCCATGAGAAGGAAAACTATGGTAAACTTATGATACGGGGTCAGCCGCCGTATGGAGAAATGCGGTTCGAGTGTATTTTAGTGCAGTTGCACTAAAGGCCGCAGGTGGGCTGCACTATAACGGCTGAGCAGAGTTGGCACGTTCACTGCACAATTTTCCGCGGCTCATGCTTTTTCAGAGTCTGAGGAATGAAGAATGTATGAGTTTATGGCACATACTTTTCTGGCTGCTTCGACTGCGCTGATGAGATTGGAATGAATCTTACTGCATTGTGATTTACCTTGAGCTGTACCTCAACGTAAAATTTACCTCAAGGTAAAATTTTCGTATTCATAAAAGTTTTTTTTGGGTAGGGGAAGAAAGCCGCCAGTTTGAGCCGCCTTTCGCGGCTAACTGGTCCTTTCGCAACGTTGTTGCATGTCGTTTCAGGCAGCAATCCGCGCAGGCGACCGAAGCTGACGGCTTTCGTTCCCCTACCTATTTTTTTCTTGAGGTTAGATTTACCTGTGTCAACATGATAAGGACTGACGTGTATTAGGAGCTTGGCATGACGTATATGAGGTGTTGCTTTTTTGAGCCCACATGATATTTTTACGAGGAACTTCTTGCCTTTAAAGTTGAAAACGCTACAGTTAGTGATTTCGACACTATCTTGTCTACGTAGTCAACTACCCCAGGCTCTAAGGGTTTCTATCTGACAAACTAATTGCTTTTGCGTTTTATTTTAGATTCGTAACTTTCTTTCTCTAACAATAAAACCTGCCTGTCCTAAGATAACTTTTCTTGTTCGGTCATCGAGGAATATCCATGACTGAACAAGACAAGTTGAAGAATGAAGAAAAATTAAAGAATAACAAATTTGCTTAAACTTCTAACGTACTATTTTGATTTCTCAGCCAAAGTTGGAAAACTTTTTGGTGAACAAGCTACATTTTCCCTCTATTTTTTGCATTCAAGGTCAACTCTTTCTTCCTGATAAAGACGAAGCCCAAGTCCCCCAAATCCACTTAAGACAAGCGAATGATTTAGTATTTGATGCGACTCGAAATGGGCAGTTAAGGAACCAAAAGGATTAGTCATTTGTACGTTAGCATCTTTTCTTTCTACAAATTAGTTGCTTATTGGAAACAAAGTACTTTCATTTGGCAACTTTGACTTTGTGATTTCACCAGTACCACTGTGCTCAATAGCTGGGAGTGAGGATTAATATTGTGTATGACTACCTACAGCTTAACAGAATCAAAACATTAGACGTTTGTTAACATCTACATAGTATAGACAGAAATTTTGCACTGTTCAATCCGTATAACTCTCACTGATTCAATTAAATTTCGCAAAATTGATACTAGCCCGTAGTAAACCCCCCTTCAGGGGATCTGCCCTAAGACCTGAGTTGATCGTATGGCGCCTCGTTCTAGCATCCCGCGAGCTATTGATCTAGATGCGGATCGCTTTTCAGGCATAAAAATCTTGCGCGCTATCAAACAGAGAACACCTACACCTCTTGTGCAGGTTTGGTGGTTCGGCGCCGGACAGTTTCGAAATTTTGCGCATCACTGAGCAGTCTTTGATAGCGGCCACTATCGAAGAAAATCGATGACGGCCGCTATCAAGGAATTCACAAACTGAATGCACAAAACAAAACTGCGTTTTTTTAACCATAATTTATCAAAAATTGAGGAAGAGGGACAAAATCGTTTGGCAATAAATAAAGAGATTGTCGCTCTGAGTAGCTTTTGTAGAAAAAACCTAAGCAAACTCTGCAAAAAGGAAAAAACCTATTCTTCTGTTTGCCGAACGTCAGCTGTTCATTGATCCTTTCCTTTTTGGGCACCGGTATTGTGCAGTATTGCGCGTTCTTGTACTGCAACAATACGTCAAGTACGATGTCCCGTAAGTTACTCACGAGCAACTTACGGGATTTTTCTCTGCGTCTCATCCCTTGCACACTATTTCGGTCAATTCATCTCAAAATCGAGGCTGCTCTTACGGATTTTAGGTGAATTCATCGCGGCACATGCCCTGACGCTAACCCTTCAGATCAGGTCGCATTCTTAAGCATGTGAGTGACCGCTAGTCAGTTTATCTTAAATACCTCAACTCAGCCCCTCAGCTGAGATCATCTGAAGTGAAGTGGGGTTTACTACTGGCCACTGTGACCTAAACTACGTTGCTGCATTGATCCTGCAAAAAATCAGCTTCTGAGAATAGATAGATCTCTTAAGGTATCCTTCCAACCTTGCCTTTGGCTAGGGTTAGAAGTTGTATTGAGAATTTACCTTAAGGTAAATGCAATCCGTTTGATGAATACGGATTACAAGTGATATCAGCACCTTGAGGTAGAATTTACCTCAAGGTACTCTTCATTCCATACTAAACACCTTGAGGTAGCTTCTCAAGGTAAAATTAACCTTGAGAAATACCTCAAGGTACTCGGCTGTCTGCTGATAATGTGTGATAAAACTACCTGGAAATAGGATTTACCTCAAGGTATCAATGATGAATACGGCCTCAGAATTCGAGCGCATATGAATGACACTTCTTCGAAAGTTTAGCTATTGTATGCAATAGAAGTTGTCTACATTATGCATACTTCATTGTATATTTGAGGTTTTCCAAACTGAGGTATAGGTGAGGCATACTAAAATTTTTATATTTTGGTATTTTTCCTCTTCGCAAACTTTTTTCTCCACTTTTTATTTTGTTTTGTACTATTGGCTTGCGGCTACAAGAGAGGGCACTTATCATTTATACTAACAAACTTTGAAGAAAGTTATAATTCGTAAAGAGAGGTTTCGGAAAAAAACCCTTTTTTTGTTCTACAATCCATATTTTTCGGCAAGCTTACGATATTGGTGCAGGTAAATGTGCACTGTATTGCAAAAGGTATGCTCTCGTGATGGTTTTTACTGCGTTCAGAAATGTGTACTTTTCAACAAGTTATAGCAAGTTGAAATCAACATTTGCAGAACGGCCATTATTTTTGCATCAACCCACTATTATTCCTAAAATTCGTCTCTGCTGTATATTGTAACTACCCAACTCAATGCTTGCAAGGAAGCTTTTCTCAAACTTGCTGAAGTTTTCAAACTTCACACAAAAGCTCATACATAGCCAGGTGAAAATGACTGTCGGAGGACCAACGATTACTCTTTCTAATGGCACTAAAATGCCTCAAGTTGGATTGGGCACTTGGCAGGTAAGCTTTTCACTCTACCAGCATCCGATTTTGGATGTTTTGAAAATTTAGTCTTCTCCCGAGGAGGTAAAGGGAGCAGTAAAGTATGCTATAAACACCGGATACAGACTGATCGACACAGCTGCAATATACGAAAACGAGGATGCGATTGGAGAAGCAATTCAGGAACTTGTCAAGGAGAAAAAGATCAAGCGTGAAGATCTCTTCATTACAACAAAGGCTAGTAAGACAAATCAAGTTGAAGATTTGAGTTGTTGAGTACAGTGCTTACAAGAATCTACGCAAGGTTTCCTGTGTGGTTGCCAGGTACCGTACTCTTTCCAAACGGAAACGCCTTCGAGTACGGTAGTGGGCAAAGCCAAAATTACATATCTCATCCACAAATGTATTTCATGAGCTATCACTTGAACAGAGGCTTAGTTGCGGTCTCTCATTCAGTCATGAAAAGTCTAGGTACAAGTTAGCTCGAGCGCTACCTTCGAAATTTTGCAAAAGTTCGATTTTTGCAAATCGCAGAAGCTTTTTTGCAATTTTTGCAAAACCCTTGCCAAAAAAGTACCACCTTTTTTCCTGAAAATGATAATAAATGTCAACATGCTCCAGAATTTCTATTGCTGATACGATGTTGAATGGAGGCCATGATTACTGCAAATGGATTACCGCAAGGGCGCTTTACGCAACTAATATCTTTGACTCAATAAAATCATGCTTATCACATTTACATTTCATATAAAAACGCCACTTCGGCTAGGTATCCTTCCCTTGTAAGTAGAGAAGCTAATTCACCAATCTTGATGTTTCAGTCGCCAGGAGGACCTACTTATTGAACCTTGCTTCTGTATTCTATAGTGAAGCATACCTCAACTCAAAAGAAAGATGAAGTAAATTCGTTTAAAACATCAAAAATCACTATTTATTCTTTGGAGAGTATGTCTTAAGCCACGGCCCAGAGACAGTCGATTTTAGATTGAAATTCTAGTGGCATTCACCTTGACGCGTTCCAAATCGCTCAGTTTTCCATTTGGAAATCCCATACTCTAAAGCAACCAACCGAAATAAACATTTGCCTAGTCGTAGCTTGAATATTCTGTTTTTAGCTATGGGTGACTCATCTACATCCCGACGATACCGAAGGTGCAATCCGTGAATCTTTGAAGAAGTTAAAGCTTGACTATGTTAATCTCTACATATTTCACATGCCTACATGCTTCAACGTAAGTGTTACTATCTCTCGTCTTTCATCCATGGAACAGTATAGTAGGATTCTAGTCTACAATTTGTACAATTGCACAGTCTAGAGATATCTACAGTAAGCTAACTTTTGGTGCTCTCTCAGCGGAAACTTTTATAATAAAAGAACAAGCATCTGATTTACGATTGTATGTATCGTATAGCAAATTCGCACACGGTGGAACTGCGTGCTGCACCATGTGCAGCACAGGTCTCCGCAACGTGGCGTCAATTTTGCAACTTCGAGCACATGATGTGCAAGTGACACTTCAATGAGCAGTTCTTCTTTACTACAATTCCACTTTAGCACACAAAAATCACATCATAACAAGATCAGACTTTCCTCTCCTCAGAATCTCAACAAAATAATGAAAATCTTTTTTCCAGCATGACATGACAGAACAGAATCGCTCTGTAAGCGTCACCGATGTGTGGAAAGGCCTCGAGGGTGTCTACAAGAAAAAATTGACTAAGGCTATTGGTGTTTCTAACTGCAGTGGAGAGCAAATCGAGCGCATCATGAAAGTAGCTGAAGTACCCATCCATGTCGCGCAGGTAAGGGTGTTCTAGAGAAAGATTGTGTATTTTGGTAAGAGGCTTATTTAAAAAGACATTTGATGTAATTGTTCTATTCGAAACAAAACGCAATCTTTCATAGTTAAATAACATTTCCTTGACTATGGCGATGTTGATAGGTGTGATCTGTGGATTTGGATCGGCTATCCGCCTCCTACAGTACACCTACAGTATTTTTATCGCATACCGTATCCAGCTCTTCCACTCCCTGCATATCACGTAGAGCAGTCTCAGAAGCTTCGTTTCGTTGAGCTAAATATAAATTTTTTTCTATCGGACACCATTCAAAAGCGCGTCCACAATTATTGTGTGTCAGCGCCGTGCCGATATAGGACGCGTTCGCGTGGGATTCGGCACGACGCTGGGACGGACAGCTTTGCAATCTGAAGCAGCCTAAGGTGGAACGTTCCACCTTTTCTATTAGACAGTAGTGGTCTTACGCAAAGACTATTTCCTCCCATATACTAAAAAATTCATATAATTCATCTATCAGATAATTTTCTAGGTTTTTTCAACCTATAACAGCGAGTTGTTAAGGTCGAGCTTCACTTATACTGGCCTCAACACGAATTCCAAGAAGTTTGTAAAAAACACAACATAGCTATAACTTCCTACGCAACCATGGGATCACCGGGACGTTTTGCATTTGGTCTGAAAAGCGGAGCGTAAGCACTTCTCACCTTTTGAAGTCAGAGAAATAATCGCACATGATTAGAAAGATGGAATGGGCTCCAGCACCAAGTGATATGGATGATGCAAAAGTGAAAAAGTTGGCTGCAAAGTATAAGAAGACTCCTGCTCAGGTAGGTATAACTTGACAAATTTAACATTACTTTGGTGTAAGAAAAGGTGTTACATATATCAATTTGGTAGCAAACAAGATCAAATAGAGGTTGCCAAGAAAATAATGTCGATTTTCATAGCAAAGCCAGAAGACAAATCAAAAAAATATGTGAGGGGTACCGAGCAAAGGAAGCTCTACAAAATGGTCTCCGAACATTGGCAGAAGTTGTTGTTCACGCAAAGTTCTAAGAAAACCATATGAGCAAGTCGTGATGCCAAAAATTGGATCGCCATAGAAAAACCTGCGAACCTTTCACTTGCTCCTGCATTAGAAGACACATGCACTTATCCATAGGTATTTCTATTTTTTCCATGCTTAGAAACCAAGAAAAAATTGAAAAATGGAATATGACAGACTCCGCCCCTAGTAATACTGGACCCCTCCCACATATGTCTCATTGTATACTACAAAGCTTCGTAACTTTAACCATAGAATTTTGGCCTTGATATGGCTCTAGTTCTCGAATAATATCAATTTCACCCGAAAAAACCGAAAAAAAAACCACATTGTTTGCCTGACAACCCAATATTTCAATATCTAAATTTGAAAAAAATAAGCACAACTTCAAATCTTCAAGAAAATAGACTTGTAGATGCATTCGGGACGAGCACTGAGTACAGAATATAAAATCTTACATCAGTTGATCAGTCGATCAGTCAAATTCCAAGTTTCAATCCTAACTTCTCCATCATCTTGGGATTTTTTTCGTTTCTAATGGACCTTAGCGGTGCAGTCCGAATCTACGCTGACAGCATTGAAAAGTGTTAAAATGTCGAAAATTTTTGTCACACCATTATAGAAATTCTGCACAGGCGGAAATGTCGGAGCCATTGAACCAATCGCCGCTTAGCGCTTTAGCCCATATTAGTTGTGATTGGGTAATCCATGCGAATTCTCTACTGCGAAACTTGGGCGCTGTCTTTTTGCTTTCTTTGCCAAAGTTTGTGCTTGCTTTCAAAAGGAATTTTTTCATAAAACAACATGCAAGTAGTGAGAAATTAAGAAATTTGCTTTATACGCAAGTAGCCTTTGGGGAACAGGGGAAATGCAGTTCTTGAACCTTTTTGAAAATTCTAGGTAATTTGTCTCGACGAACAAAATTAGGTGTTTTCCTCTTAATTAATTCCGTGATTGAAGATTCTTTTGCGTTACGCTATGGATCGCAACATTGCAATCATACCAAAATCAGTGAAGAATGCAAGAATCAAGGAGAATTTTGATGTAAGCTCAAGCCTTTCGTCCTTGCTGACATACAGCAGTTAATCCTGAATTTTATAGGTCTTTGACTTCTCATTGAAGCCAGATGAAATAAAAGACATGGAAACAGGAGCGCATCGTCAAAGACTTTTCTGGCACGAATTGTGAGCCAAATTCTTCCTCGAAAATTTCTTAAGGAACACGTAAAGCTTTTTTATTTTTCTGCAGATAACAATTCTTTTTTGTCAAAGTAAAATCATATAAGTTTTTTGCATCATGAGCATAATTTATCTTTTTTTAGCATGGAAGGACATCCCGAAGACGCTTTCGCCGCGGAAAGGAAAAAGCAGTGAGCGAAATGAAAATGCAGCAACAGACTTTCTTTCATAAAGCAGCATTTGGAATTTTGTTTCTGAAAATCTGCTTTTTCCATGGTTTTGAAATTTTATTGGAATTAGTCGAGGCTGCATGTTGTAAGTCTGCAAAGGCCAATAGTTTGTGCAAAATCTGGCTTTCAAATTTTTTTGGTTTCATGAATTGATTTTTACCGTTAGTATGGATGTGCACATTTGTTATGATTTACATCAGTTAGTAAATGATGCCACTCCTTTCTCCTCTGACTTTGTAGTCACATGAATTTAAAGAAGAACTTCTAAACCATTGTTCAAACTGGATTATGGTTCATATTCCACAGTAAATTTTTTATTCCGTACAAGATGATGCTGTCCTTCTAAAATCTCGAGCGTATATCGAACTAGCCATGAAAATAATATTATATATTCGTTTTTATAATGTAATTAGGACTTGTGTCAAATATTGGATAGCTGGCACGATGTTTAGGTTCCTGATTTTTTGTTTTCTTTGAAAACTCAAGATAGGCGTTTACCCCATATCATATGCTACGATATTTATAGGAAAAAGATGTACTTCGTTGTCTGAGAATTCCTACATATAGTCTCAAATATTAGGAGTGTCTCGCACAAACGTTTTAAAGGAGGTTTTTGATGCAATTCTGCACAATTACTTGAAATGTGGTTAATCGAATCCAACTGTATCTGTGGGCCAAATCCACCTGCCCGAGCCAATTCCGCTTTTGACACTTACTTTTCAAGATCAGGGCTCGGCACGAGCTGGCACCAGGAAATTTTCAAAACGAAGTCCCCCTTGATTTTCGCTAAGTTTTACGAAGTCCCCCTTGACCCTAACCCTAAATCTATAAAAACCTCCCAAAAAACGAAACGTCGACTAAAAAAAACGTCGCCACTTGTCGACAAAAGCGATATCCCCTTTGCTTTTTTGTCCCAAAAACGATATCCAGCTTGCCCCATGCCAGCTGGTGCCAGGCCCTATTCATGATCTCCCTGGGAATTATCAGGTCTTGGTTTGCACTTCTGAATAAAAAAGCCACCTGATTTTCCCAAAATAATGAATAACACCGAGAATTCACAAAGATATTCCATAATTTGGCTTAACATCTGTGAGAAAAAAATTAGAAAGCGGTATTGTCAAAGCACAATCGTCTTTGCTAATCACTACATAAACATATACTTTGTCGGCTTGAGACTTTATGTATCTCTTCATTCTTCTCCTGCATTTAATTTGGGCAAAAATGCAATAATGTATATGACACAAGAAGGCGATGTTTTTGACTATGATGCTAGAAAAAGAAAGTTATCTGCTCGGACATTTTACATTAAAATCACATTATCGTCCTGCCTTCGTCCTGAGCGGTTGCTTGATTTTCGTAGGAAGACGTCGTGGTGACAACGCCCATTCCGTGGCGATCGCTATATCTTTAATATAAACGAATTTTTGAAATTTCAACTATAATAAACAGTTTGCATAATGTCTCTGTTTGCAGTTCATCTTTTCTCTACTGGATTCTTGCCAAATGCTATAATTATGCACGAGCATAATGTATGATAATAGCGAAGCGAGGCAACGTGCACGGATGGCCGAGTGGTCTAAGGCGCCAGACTCAAGCGAACGCTTGCCGCGAGCTAGTGGCTGGGAACTCTGGTACTCGTCAGAGTGCGTGGGTTCAAATCCCACTCCGTGCAAATTTTTGCGCAGCAACTATTTTTGCCCAACATGATATGGTAACCAGTCGCGCAGGTTCAAAAAGTGTTTTGCAATATTTTTTCTAAAAACAAAACAGTCTAACAAATTTAAACCCCATTTATACGGATAAGTTAGATTCATCAAGGAATACCATCAGAATATTACAAGAACTAGTCCTCACTTTCTCTTGATAGCATATCTTACAGCACAGAGTATTGAGAAAATTAGTATCATGCTTATGATGCCAATGAGTAGCCATCCAAATCCCTAAAAAGAAGGAAGTAGTTTTTAGAATTTTTTAATTAAAAAAATGGAGACGAATAATAACTGATAGAGATCGTTCCACAACATTGTTTATACTGTTCACCGCAGCAATAGTAACCCCACACGACAGCATTGGGAGAGCAGGTTGTAGAGCCGGCCTTATCGTCTGGGCACATCTGAATCGTAGTACTTTATTTTGCTTGAACTGCATATTTCAAAGGATAATTTGGTCAAAAACTTTGGAAGTGGATAGAATGTTGGTTGTTTTTGAGCGTAGAAAATACTTTACTCCGCTTGAAGTGCAGCATTTTGGAGTAGAATTTCATCAAGAAGCCTCGAAAGTGGATAAAATAAAAATAGTTCGTAAAAATTTTGATAGAAAGCTATCGTAGATTTAAGTTTGAATGTGTGTCTTTGTAAGATAGATCTTACTGAGATTATTGCACCAAGTGATTTTCACCAAAGGCTGTTGACCGATAGTTTTGGAATTTCTCATCGTTTTCATCATCGATCGAAAAAATTGTTGGAGTCAATTTAATCAAGTTTTTGATTGCAGCTGTTGGCAAAAAAAACAAATCAGCTTATCAAAAAAACTAGTCAGTTTGTCAGCGCGATTGAGCAAAGGTGTTAACGTATCTGAACTTTACAAATTTAGAAGTTTTTAGGGGTAATAATTTGGCACATTTTCGAACTTATTGCTTTCAGATGCGATAAATTTTATTTCAAAGTCCTACCTTCTATCAGCTTTATAAACCTGTATTTTTCGTTAAGAAAGCTACAGTCGAAAGAACAAATTTATACACTTACTTCGATTCCAGTCGGGAAAAAATTCGACATTTTCCGGTGTTTGAACTTTCTTTGTTGAGCACCTAAATTTGTTGGAGTACATGAGATCTTCAGTCATTCACTCGAAAAGTTTCTTTACTCAAAAACAGGATAGGAATCACCAGGAACTAAAAATGAGAATATGCAATGCTACTCGGCGTAAGCCAAGCTCACGCAATCGTGAGAGATTTTTATTTTACGAGATTTTGATATTGGCCAGCACCAAGCATGACTAATACCAAGTGAGATGGGCTGTAAAAACTACGATAAAAAGCAAAAAAAAGTTTCTTCCTAAGCGGGTTTGAGCAAAAAAAGGAATTCTATACTTCTTTGAAAGTTCATGTTCTGACTTTGTATGATGAAGATGATATTGGCTCTGAGTGCTTCTACGAACTTGAGAATATGCTTCGTGCTTCACGGCCACGAAAGAAGATGACCATGATCAAAATAGGCTCCATGAAATTTTGAAAAAATGGCAATGTACGAATGACACATGAAAGAAAGTCGTTCGAGGCATTCAATGCCTGTTCTTTTGATTGATATTCATTTAAGATGTCGGAAGATCTGATTCATCTTTCGAAAATGATTATGAAATCGATGTCCATGCGGAACATTCGAATTCGCGCTGTTGTTTCCGAAGAAAATGTTGACAAAGGTGAGACAGCGGACATTATTCATCGACTCTGTTATGCAGAGTCTTAATGGAACGGCATTCGAACGCCAATGTTGCCGTACATGATCATATTGGAGCAAACGCAAAAAATGCATTTTTTCAGAAGCGGCAGGAAACTAGGAGATAAAGTTTTACTAATTCACGCATATCTCATGATTATCACTCGCAAATTAATGCATATCAAATCAGAGCGTGTAGCGGTACTTTTCCGTTATTCGGACCCATTTTTTGAAGAAGAAAATCGCTTCTTTCTTCATACCATATTTGATCCCAACTTCAGAGGAAGGGGTGTCAACCTTTTGTCACGTGTCAAAATAATTTGACATGTCATTTAGGTTTATCAAGTTTTGCCAAGAGGTTGTGTTGCCCTACCTAGCGACGTAAGTTAGTCTGTTGTTTCCAATAATGGCCCCATTTTCGATAAAACAGCATGCAATGAACATTCATTATTATAATAATGATGTCATCCAATTAAAACGAACAGCCTAGACTTGCTCACAATGGAGAAGTGCGCTGAGACTCCATCATCTAAGTGAAAACAAGTAGCAGCGAAGAACTTTAAACCATCATTTATAGTCTTTCCTGGCAAATTCGCATGGCGAAAAAAGTTTGAAGATAAACACTTTTTTGATTCATTGCTGAAATCAATCAAGATGTTCTAATGTAAGTTTCAGATTGTTTTGGTCTTATAGAAAACAGGTAAACAGCTTCTACAGTCGTCGTCAATACGCACTGGGCTTTTCTACCGTATCCCGATCGCCCATCCGCCGTTAACCGTGCCGCTCAGGCCATGCGACGCGCTGCCTGAGTATCATTGCTGGCGCGTAGCCAACTGAGTAGTACAATAGAGTCGATGCGCAGTTAGCTACGCGCCAGAGATACGCAGGCACGCGTCGCGCGGCCTGAGCGGCACGGTGAGCGGGCGGATGGGCGATTTTCGGGTTACGGTAGAAAAGCCCAATGCATATTGACGACGACTGTAGGTAATCACAAATGCTTTTTTACCTTGCCGGGTGATTTCAAAAAACATGTTAAAATGGACTAAACGTGTCAATTTCTTCCTGAACGTAGCAGGGAGACAGTCCTCGTAAAATCTATGAATAATCGTTCTTAGACTAAAAACGAGACCTTTTTTGAAAAATAGGCCCGGATAACGGAAAAGTACCCATTTAGCTCTTAGGGGATGACATCGCAATGCCTAGATTTAAGGAGGAGCTTGGAATTACTACTGAGTATATTTGTTCATAGATTCAAGAAAATATATGGTAGGTTTGCCTTTACTAGTGCCAGGCACTATGACTGCCTAAGCTTCGAAATCAATATTTTTGAATTCATTTCCGTTTTTAGCTTGATCCCAGTGGTACCTTGGAATTTTTGTCTGTGCCCCAAATAACTGTCAATATTTCGTTATAATTCCAATGCCTCTCAATCGCAAAAAGTATATAGTGTCTATATGACCAGACACCACTTCTAAATGCGCTTCTGCTTTAGTGAAAGATTTCATACTACCTCCTCACCCCTTCCCTCTCCCAACATAGAATCTTAGCAGATAAATGATGTTAGCGCAATTTGAAATCAGTATTTTTGTTACATTCCCATCTGATCTGTGCTCAACTTCACAGCTGCATATTCCTCATCGTCAAATGATAGTCAATCATGAAGCGTTTTGTGGCTTTATGTTTGCCACATGAGACAATGTTCAAGCCTTTCGGAGTATTGTCTAAAACTTTGAAGTATGCAGAAAGCGGCCTCAAGGCATTTAGCAAATCATTGGTCATATGTAAAAGTACACATGACGTCTCTACAGAAGTCTTTCTAGGTTCGCATTATCATATTCGTTAGATCATAGATTCTAAGACATAGAAATGGCGATACGTTACCGAATGATTTGACAACGCTTGTTCTTGGAAACCTTTCGGTGAAAGTCTTATTGTGTAAGTAACTATAAAGGAAATTTTGGAAGCATTTTCCGTCATTCACTGGTATTGAAAGGTAGGCGCTCTTCCTACTTACAATCAGAGGAGAGTATAACGAAAGAGCAGGAAATTTCGAAAAGCTTTTCTTGTGAGTATCAATGCATGCTTTCATCTAGGGAGCCTACTCATGAAAATGACATAAATTTTGTAAGGAATGCAGGCTCAAAAGGGAGAGATTTTCGTGATGTAAAGTGATCGTATCTATCTATTGGAGCAACAATAAATGAAAATGAAAGCGCCTGTTGTAACTGAAGTTGTGGATTAATGTAGTAGATGTTATAAAAAGGCTTATAACCTTTATGAGGATGTGGCTCCGAGCGGTTGTCAATTCTATGAAACCTATCTAATTTTTGATCGGTAAAGTTCGGTAGATGCAGACCATACAAAAGATTCTCAAGAGCTGCACAGGAAACCGCTATACAAAACGCGATTTTTGAAACAGTAAATTTATTCTCCACTTCTATTGTTTACCTTTAGACCAACCTTTCTGGAAGCTATAAATCCAAGGATTTTTTTGTTTTTGATGCGCTCATGTATGATACGACTTTACAAAATCAAAAAGTTTTGGAATAATTGTCTTATGAATAAATTAGGATACAAGATAAAAAACAAGTTTTTCCCCTCTATAGCCTGCTTCAACATATTCTGAATATTTTCTGAAGCTATCAAATCATAGTGGTCCACGCAAGCCTCAAGGATCATCCGCCGGCGACCTGGACAATGAAGCAGATTTTCCTCCTCTTTCTAACGGGTGCTTTTTGGTTCCGATTCGTAAGGTGGAGATTTGGAATTTCGAATCTTGAACTCTATCTGCCTTGTAAAATTAGTTTAGTCATAATACAGTTTCGAAGCTTTCGAATTTTGAAGGTTTTTTGGTGATTGAAGGGTTTGTGTCCGAAGCAGCCTGCTAAAATTTGGTGGTTTTAATACAAAAAAAATGTGGGATGTGCATGTGCCTCACCCGTGATCGAATCTTTTCGAAAAGTTGGTGCATTTTGAAAAAATAGCGAGTTGATAGGCAAGAACCATAGGTAGGTCCTAATTTTGATTTCCTAAGAGATCGTCGGTACTGCATCTCGATCAAATTTTATAAAGAAAGATGAGAAGTTGTATCAACGCAAGGGGAATCTTTTGGAATCTCTAGTCTACGGGATGTGCGCCTGCTTGGAAAACCGAATTTACTTTCCTAACGGCCAAAATACTAGAATATCAAACTGCTTTGGATAGGCAAAGGTGTTATTCCATGATCGATCGCCATTGGTTTTGCTCTGGCTGCGGGTACATAACATGTCAGTGTCTGCGGATACCTAACACATGTCAGTGTAACATTTGATTCAACTGGCTTGGCTTCGGCAGGGCGGGGCTTTGTGGCCTAATTGAGGCCGCCCGCGCCCGCGATGCACCTGCTTCTCTCTCGAGCGAGTGCTCTCTGATCATTAGCCTTAATTAGGTTACAAAGCCCCGCCTTCCCGAAGCCAAGCCAGGTGAATCAAATGGTAATACACGTAATACACGTGTTCTGTTTGCGAGGAGAATCATGAATTGGCCGTAACGGTTGCTTCTCATCAGGTTCTTTAGCTTCTTTCATCTTTATCGGACCATTATTCTAATTTTCATTGGGAAGAGTCTACAACGCAGTTTGTAGTCAAACTAACTGAAGATCTCAAATTATCAGTGACATTCTGGCGTAACAATTTGCATCTGTTGTATACACTGGATGTGTTTTCTTTTGATAATATGTTATTGGAATCAATATCGATATACTAATTAGTAGAGAGCGCTGTCATATTTCGCGGACACACGCCGGCTGGAGACTTCTAGGATCGAAAGGTGAGAGGGTCGTGCTCGCTAACCTTTTCTATTCTCACTCATCATATTCGCATTTGATTCTAATCTAACAAGGGAAGGATACCAACATTAGCAGGCGATTGAAGATGAGTTGAATATCAGTAGACGCGCCTTTGAACGCTATTCCAAATCTGCTTTCCTCTTTTGCAGAAGCGGCAAGCTGTATAAAAGCACCGGAAAGTGCAAAATCAGTCTCATATCGAGTATATTGTTTGCAAGACCGGTGGAAAGGGTGAGTGCTACACCTGGCGTACAGTACGGAAGCAGTACTGAACGTTGCAGACATATGGTGTCAAAATTTTAATCAGACATTTAGCGCATCCCGAAAAATAAATGTTGTTCACGCTCAGATCCCTCGACAAATCTTTCAGTCGCTGCGTCCACCCTCTCTGGGATCTTCCTGTGGTTCGACTATCGATGAGTCAATAGGTCGATGATAGGAGGCACAGGGGGTTTAGGGCCGAAGGTCATTTAACGAAAACATTGGTATCTTCAAAGAGATGTTCAAAGCCCAA